TTTTTTTGGTGTTGGGGATAGAACTTGGGTCCTTGTGCAAGGCCGGTGGCAAAACCACTGAGCTAAATCCCCTACCCTAATCTACAGACTTTATTCACATTTATCCAGTTACTCATTGGTGTTTTTGCATGTTCCAGGGTCCCACTTGAATTTATAGCTTGTTTAAATTTATACCTTATCTGGCAGGGTTAGGGTTCCCCATCTTTTGTTTCAACTTTTCCCTGGCTATTTAGCATCCTTACTACCCAGATCAGTCGATCATCTCTATTGAAACCAAGCTGTTGGCATTTTTATAGTATATTAAATTTATAATTTAACTTGGGGAGAGTCGCCACCTTCATGATGTTGAATTGTGATATCCACACAAAATATCACACAGTGATATTTTCCCTCTTTTCTATTTTTTGTCTCCCAGAAGTGCTATAAACTTTCCTTCTATAGATTTTGAACATTTCGATTGTATTTGGTTTTTGTTGTTTGTTGTTTTGTTCTGGGGATTGAACCCGAGGTAACCTGAATACCACACAACCACTGAGCTATATCCTCAGTGCTTTTTTATTTCTTTGGCCAAGAATTAGAAGTTGTTTTATTGTGTGACCTTTGCAAAAGAAAAATCATTACTGAAAACTGTAAAGCATCATGCAATCATTGATAAGCTAATTATTAATTGTGCACTTAAGTGGGCATGTATTCTAAAATTTGAAAACGAGTTCCCAAAAAAGTGCAAGAAAATTTAACATGATAATCATTTAAATATGATTTATAGGGCCAGGGATTTAGCTCAGTGACTCTGCCACCTGCCTCGCAAGCACAAGGTCCTGAGTTCGATCTCCAGTACCAAAAATAAATAAATAAAAGATTTATATTTGGACTTTCATGTTGTTAAAATATGTTTCAAATGTACTTCTGGGAAGCTGTTCTTCATAAGTGGTGCTGGGAGAAATGTCAGATAATAAACTGTAAAAATATGTGGAATTAGAAAGCTAACACTGAATCAGTGTAACTTACTGGAATCAGTTTCAGTTCTCGAGTTGGTACCCTATTAATAATCTAAAAGTATCTACTTTAAAATGGACAAAAGGCTACTAAATTCAAAGTATACATGTGGAATGATCAATGATCAACCTCTGAGAAAGCCTGAAAGCTGAGCCTGGAACCAAGGAGGGTTGGTTATTACTGTACTGCACACTATCCTGCAGAAGCCTAGAAGCCCTCCCCATAACCTTGTCTTTTTTTCTCTTTCTTTCTTTTTTTTTTTCTTTCATCTCCACCCCTTTGTATCTCTTATTTTTGAGACAGGGTCTTGCTAAGTCACTGAATTGCCCAGAGTGGGTTTGAACTTGTAACCTTCCCCACAGCCTCCCAGAGCGTTGGAATTACAGACATATACAGCCACGCTGGATATAACCTTGTCTTTTGAGCAGACTGTACACGAAGACTTCTAATGGCCAGGCGCCCGATTCTGTCAGTAATAGTCGGCCCTTTCCCGACATCCTTGGACCTCAGGTCTGTCCCCAGATCAGCAGAGGCACATGACCAAATGAGTATAGGCACGTTGGTCCTAGCAGCCTTTCGCAGTCTGCGTAACCCACCTGAAATACAAAGCCATGACTATCAGGAAGATAGTTTTTCTCATACTCTTTGTGCTTGAATATATCCACCCAGATGAAAAGTTGTAAAAGACACAAAGTAGTCAGTTCTGAAGTGGGATGTAATGTTGAGACATGTTGTCTAAGTCTGTCACCCTTTAGCAATGTTCCTTTTCCTGCATTATCCGATCCAAAAAATACCACTTTATCAGTTTGCTTATAGAATCCTAAAAACTGTAGCACACTTCCACCATCACTGTAAATCCAATCAAACATGGACAGGGGCTGGTTATTTGGCTCAGTGGTTTCACCGCCTGCCTCGCAAGTGCAAGGTCCCGAGTTCGATCTCTGGTACCACACACACATACACACACACACACACACACACACACACACATGAAGGACCTATCCAAATCTCATAGGGTCTACAGCTGGAGCAGACTCAATTCAACCCTACACCCTCTGAGACCAAACTGAAAAGTGTGACGGCTGCTTTCTTTTTCTTTTTAAGACAGAGTCCCACTAAGTTGCCCGGGTTGATACCCACTTGCAATCTTCCTGGTTTGGCCTCCCCAGCATCTGGGATGACAAGTATGCGTCACCACATTCGGCAGATTTTGCACATTTCTCATTAAGTTTATTCTTAATTTTTTTTCTATTATGCATAGGGTTTTCCTCCTTGTGTCCTCTAATTTAAATATTTTTGTGGCCCAAAACAACTTTATCCCAGATTTCTTCTTCCCATACAAGTCATTATGAACAAGACTAAAAGAAACCTAATTTTTTTCCCTTGGCTGATTTCCTTGCTATTGGGATGATGTAATAATGTTTGACATGCTGATAAATTATTTGTGTGAGATCTGCTTTAATGGTGGTAATAATAATGCCAACCTACTAGTTGCTGAGCACTTACTATGTTGTAGGCCCAATCTTATTGAGTCCTATAGGCTCAGTGTTGTTATTATTCTCAGTTTATGGATGAAGAAAAGGTAAAGCCACAGGGATATCAAATTCTCAACCCCACACCTTTAGGGATGGATTCAGAAAGTTTTAAACCCAGCCCATCTGGCTTTAGAACCTGCACTGCCTCCACACCAAGAAACATCCAGAAGTAGACACTGCACTTTGTTTGCTGTTTTGTTTTGTTTTGTTTTTGGTACTGGGGATCAAACTCGGGCCCTTGCGCTTGGGAGGTTTTTTGTTGTTGTTGCTGTTGGTACTGGGGATCGAACTCGGGTCCTTGTACTTGCCAGGCAGGTGGTGGAACCACTGAGCTAAATCACAGCCCTGTTTTGTTTTTTTGGCATGGGGGGGGTACTGGGGATGGAACTTGGGTCCTTGCACTTGTGAGGCAGGCGGCAGAATCATTGAGCTAAATCCCCGGCCCAGACACTGCACTTTGAAACAGAGAATGAATAAACCAAACAGCCTGTGTGGAGTCCCTAATGAGGTAATAAGGACAAGGCTGTGCTTCAAACTTTGACATAGCAGCGTTTAACACTAAGAGGCCCCTCAAGAAAAATCACCCTAGCCGGACGTGGTGGCGCACGCCTGTAGTCCCAGCACTCGGGAGGCCGAGACAGGAGGATTGCTGTGAGTTGGAGACCAGCCTGGGCTACACAGTAAGTTCCAGGTCAGTCTCAACTACATAGTGAGACCCTGTCTCAAAAAACCAAAAAAAAAAAAAAAAAAAAAAAAAAAAAAAAAAAAAAAAAAAAGAAAAGAAAAGAAAAGAAAAGAAAAATCCCCCTGACCTCTGGATTTTATATCCAGTCAAGTCAACCCTCAAAAATAAAGGCACCCGAACAAAACTTTTGATCTTACAAAAACACAACCAATACTGTTGAGACTCAGGGAATGGTAAATGGAAAAAATATATTGCAAACTATAGCAGATCTATAGACAAAAGCAAATCTCAGCATCCATTCTGCAGAAAAGGGCATGGTGGAAGGGTCTAGTGGGTGAAAGCTGCCTGGAAGCAGAGAGAAGGGAGGAATCAAGTAGGGAAATGGACCATGCTAAGCCCTGTCCCACAGTGACCCATCTCCCACAGCACATTCAGCGATGGCCTCTTCCATGGGATAATCCACCGATGAGCATAGATAGCACTCTCTTGATCCAGCCATTCAGAAGCCCAATCTCTGAACGCCTGAGCCTTTTAGGGGACGGTCTAGATCTAAACCACAATGATGTCAAAAACCTGTAGAGCTTTAAGGAGACTTTCAGCAAGCACGGTGTCCTCAGTCATTTGGCAAGACAGCTAACAGGAAGAAAAGTAGCAAAATCTTTCCTCCAAAAGAAAATAATCAAAATCCAAGACCTGGAAAAAAAAAAACTTTAGAAAATCAAGAAAGAGCTTGTGGAATTTGCAGTTCCATTCTCCACAAGAATACATAGGAACTGTCCTTCCTGGCACAGGAGGGGAAAAGAGCTCTTGACACACAGAAGTTGGGAATTTCCAATGCAAAGTACATTTTAGGACAGAGAGAGAGAGAAAGAGAGAGAGAGAGGAACTCAACAACCATTGCCTCTCCACCACCACGAGAAGAACTCTGGCCAATCCCAGGAGCTGGAGAGTCTCCCCCAGGACCACCACCCGGCCTCTCCCTCTTCCGCAGCAAGACTGGCAGCCCCAACACCACAGGAGGCCTCCAGCAGGACCCACAACTCCTGTCTGCTACAGAAGAGAGCTCACCAAGAGGTGCAAGAAACCCTTCTCCTCCTAAGAGCCAAATGCCACAGGCTACCCGCCGTTTCCGTGATTTCCATGATCACCGAGATCAGGATGACCACGCCTGCCGGGGAGACAGCCCTCTGACCAGGAAGACCTGCCTGTGCTTCCCTTTCCTCCCACCTGCTGCTCCCCTGAAGGCTTCCTGAGAAAACACAGTCTGTGCTTTCCTAAATAAGAATTTCTATTTGCCCAGGAAGATATACTCAGACCACAATCTGAGTTTTGGGATTCAAGAAAGCTCCTTTCGGGTGGGGGATTTAGCTCATGGTGCTGCCGCCTGCCTCACAAGTGCAAGGACTGGAGTTTGCTACCCAGTACCCCCCCAAAAAAACCCCAAAAAAACTCCTTTTATCAGTATAAAGACTACCTTATGTGCATTGTTCTAAGTTTTCAAATCACATTATTTGAATCATTTTCCTTATTTTTTAAAAAAAATTTTTGTACTGGTTACTGTGAGAGGTAAGTTTGTCCATCTTATTAATTTTTCTTTATGCATTCTGAGGCTACATTAACAAATGCATAAAAACAATTTTTTTCTATGCTGAGGATCAAATTCACACCTCAGGCATGCTAAGCAAGCCCCAAATAGAAACTTATAATCTCCAGATAACTTGAATATGAATTAAATTTATCAGGTATTCACCTTTATCTCAGATATTGTCTTATGTGTTGTATAATATATAATTCATCATCAGCTTTATTGTATGAAGTATTTTTTTATTTTCCATTGTCACACTTTCCATACCCTTGTTTTAATGTCCCTTTTAAACACATATAGCTAATTTTTAATCTAGTCATAAAATCTCTAGATTAATAAGAATATTTAACTCCTTTACATTTAATTATTGACGTATATTTTGATTTATAGCTACCATTTTAATAAGCTTTTTTGTACTGCCTGCTCTTTTTCTCTTTTGTGTTGATTTATTATTATATACATACTTTTCCTCTATTGGTTTGTAAACCGTACACTTGTTTAATGTTGCTTTAGTAATTACAGATTACAGCACTACTTGACTTCTGCTATTAACTGGGACTTTGCTTTCTTTACAGAAAGTTTAAAATTCCTTTACTCTATCTCTGACAATCATTACCATTCTAGCCACCTATGGTCCACACATCTGTAATCCCAGCACCCGGGAGGCTGAGGCAGGAGGATCACTATGAGTTGGAGGACAGCCTGAACTACACAGAGATCCTAACTCAAAAACAAAAATAAAAAAGTTTGAAAATAATTACCCTGCCAACTTGTGAGCCTTCATTTTTAATTTCAGTTCTCTTGGACCCATACCTAGGAGTGGAAGTCACGTGGTAGGTGACGAGTTAATGCTGATTAGCATTTGGAAGACTGCCCCGACTTTTTCTAATTGGCTCCTTGGTTTTAGAATGCCACTAGCAAAGGAGGAGGGTTCCAATTCCTCCGTATCCCACTGACTCATTGTTTCTGCCTTTCCTATTCTAGCCACCCTAGCAGGTACTAAACGGTATTTGATTTGCATTTTCCTAATAACAACTGGTGTTGAACATCTTAGCTTTTCATGTGCTTATTGGCCATTTGTATATCTTTGGAGAAATGTCTGTTCATTCAAAGCCCTTTCCTTTTTTAAAAAAAATTGGGCTGTATTTTTATTGTCAAGTTGTAAGAGTGCTTTATACATTGTGAATACAAGCCCCTTAGTAGAAATATGACTTGCAAATATTTTTTCCTTTTCTGAAGGCTCTCTTTTCACTTTCCTGTGGTGTCCTTGAAGCATGCAGTTGTTATTTTCATGAACTTTGATTTATGTTTTTTGTTTTTTACCTCATTGAGTTTATTGGTACATTTTAGGTATACAGTACAGTTACATTCATCTTTGGGATCTTGTACCTTTACATGACAGGTCTTGGTGATTTATGTTTTAAAAAATAAATATTTCAGATGGAATTGATACCCTCTTTTCCATCCCTTTATGATCCAGTGTTTCTCCTCTCCTCCCTGCCTCCACAGAGACTGCCATCGTTTTGGATTCCATCTTTATAATTCCCAAGACTTTCCTTTAAATTGTTTAAACTGTATTACAAACTGTATCATCTAAACATTCTAAGTGTATAGTTCGGTGGCATTAAGTATGCACAGTATGGGCACAACCATGACCGCCAGAATATGCTAAACAAGCACAAGCAATCCACCATGCTTTGTAACTTGAAAGAAATGGATATATATCCAGGTTGTCTGGATTTCAGCTTTGCTATTTTATTAAGTATGGAGGCCATATCTCAAAGTTTCCCAGTGGTAGAAAAATAACAAAAGCTCTAAGCCATAAAATAAAAACCCAGAGGGCAAACTGGAAGTGCGCCCAGGTGACCAGCCCATGCCTGAGGCATAGCAAGTGTTGAAGCTGCCCAGCACCCTGAGGCCACACTGGTCTTCTCTGGGCCGTGGCAGGGGACCTTCAATGTAAGAGCTGGTAAACTGAGGCACCGTTCTTCGAGCCCGTGACCAGATATTTGTCATCAGCAGACAAATCACAACAGAAGATCTCCGAAGACTCCTGCACCTACAGGGAAAGAGGGATGGAATGAGGCCTGACAAGAAGGCTCCAGGTACTTCATTTAGGACTGTTTCAAGGTTTGCGTGGAAACAGGCCAAGTCCCAGGGCCCAGAGTGGAGCCCACAAGTCACGGAACCTTAAGTCCTCAATACCCACACTCTCTGAAATTCCCTGGACTGGCTGGCCTCCAACTCCCAGTGATCCTCCTGCCTCAGCCTCCTGAGTGCTGGGATTACAGGTGTGTACCACCACACCCAGCCCTCAAAACAAAAAAATTTTGAAAGGACTAGGGATATAGTTCAGTGTGAAGGCCCTGGGTTTAATCCTCAGTACTAGGAAGAACAAATGCACTCTCTGGGGTCCAACGATGGGATCTGGGGCCACCAGCTCCAAGTGCGTGGGTGTGCGCATTCTTCCCATACCTGGAACGACCGTCGCAGAGAAGGTGCCACCAAGCCTTGGATCGTCTCATCCAGTGTGGTCACAAAGTAGCTCCCTGGCAAAGGAAAGAACAAGTGAAGAGGCAAGAGCTGCCTTCTAGCTCCAGCTCTGTCCTCGACAAGACTAAGGAAAGGGCAACTCTCTCCCTGCCTCAGTTTCCTCCCTATGAAAATCAGAGACACACATGACCCAAGCCACCCCTGACCCGTCCCCAGCCTCCTACCACACACAGGACCCTGGTGTCAGTGACAGAGGGCCATGGGATGGGGCTCTGTGCTGCTTCTGTCACTAAAGAGGAAGCTGCCCTCACAGGAGCCTGGAAAGGACAAGGAGGCAAGCAGAGAAAGGAGACAGGAACATAGGTTCAAAGCAGGAGGCTTGTAGGAGTCCCCTGGCTCCTCACTCACCACAGGAAGCAAATTTGAGGTTGTGGAAGAAGGTGTATCTTTCCACGGCGACCTTGAACTTCTCCATCCGATGAGTGTGTAGGATTATGATATTACTGTTTCTCATGCCCACTAAGAGCCATTCCTCAGTGGGGTCGTGAGTGATGCTGAGGATCTGTTTGGAAGCGGCTTGGGGTCAGCATGACAAGTCATCAGTACCATTATTCACGCCAGCATCCTCAACTCAGACCCCCCACCATCTATTTGAACCCCACAGGGGGCGCAGCAGGTACCTCATTCTGTAAGTTGTACTGGTGCAGCTTTTGGGAGCTCCTCAGGTCCCAGGAGTAGAGGATGGTGTCTTCACCTCCTGTCCAGAACTTACTGCCTGTGATGTCAACACAGCGGGACCCATAGGTGGGGACTTCATGTTTCCTGGAGGGAAAACAACTCAGATTCATAGGCAGGTTTAGGGACCTCCTGGAAGATGAAGATTAGGGAGCCCCAGTTAGATCCTCCACTATGCCTCAGAAAGCCCAACTGCTAAGAGGGGAAGCAGAGGTCTCAGGGTCAAGCCTTCCACAGGTCACTGGAGGGGCTCTGGAGAGGGGTCGCACCTGATCAAAATTTGGTTCTGCAAATCCCAGATCTCCACAAATCCTCTGAAACAAGCCACGCAGATCTGGCCATCTGAGGAGATGGCCAGAGAAAAGCAGGTGGTGCCTGTAGAAGCCAAGTGCGCGCGGACCTGGGGTGTGGGCACCAAGTCCCAGAGAGTCAGAGCCTGGGCCTTGCCTCCTGTGATCAGGCTCTGCTCATCCGGGAACAGTTTGCAGGTGAGGACACAGTCGCGAGGGTCCTGCAGGAACAGTGTGCCCTTATGTCACCCAACAGCACTCGTAAAGGGGCCCCATCTCGGGTCCCAGGCCATGCTTGCCTGCCCCTCACCTGCAGGTCCAGCTGGGCCTGAGGGAGCTTGTCCCAGGCCTGCAGAGCACTTTCATCCCACACCCGGATGTAGCCAGTGCCACACGTGTACACGTGATGGGTCGAACCACTGATGGCAATGGCAGAGACTTTCTTTCCATGGCGGAGTGTGCCAACCTTCCAGGCACCCTGTGGGGTCCTCTTCCTGACCACTGCCTTATCTGGAACAGGAGGCTAAGGAGAGGACAGGTCAGGTGGCCATGAATATGGTGGCATGGCGCTGACCAACCATCATGCATGAGGACAGGACCTAACCACCCTCCCACCCACCCATCCACCCACACACCTGTCCACCCATCCACTCACCTGTCCACCCGTCCACTCACCTGTCCACCCATCCACCCACCCATCCACCCATCCATCCATCCATCCATCTATCCATCCATCCATCCATCCATCCACCCATCCACCCATCCACCCATCCTATAGGGCCTGGGTCTGGGTTCCCTTGGTCACATCTCTTGAGGAAGTGACACTGTGAGCTGCAGGCCCTACTTTATCAGGACAGTGGGAGGAGAGCAACCTTGCTGAGAACACCACTATGAGTGAGGGGACATGAATGCAGATGCACTGCTCCTAGGTTAGGGGCAGGTGGGAAAGGTAGACTCCCAAGTGTTAAAAACTAGAACAGAAAGATACTTACAATTGCTCTGAGGAGTGAGCAGACTTCACTGCTGCCAGAGGATGAAAACCAGGGCTGGCCTGCAGGGAAACAGCAATACCCACCCATTCGAAGAAGGATGTGGACAGCAAGAGTCTTCAGGGAGACTCAACACCCCTTCCCGATCTGGGGCCACCATCCCTCCCTGCCCACACCATCACGGCCAGCACTTACCGAGCACAGGTCCTGGTGGGAGGCTGTGGCAGACAGAGAGAAGGAGGAGCCAGAGCATGAAATGCAGAGCCCTGTGCTGGGATCCCCTCTCCCCAGGGCAGGGGCCTTCTCCACCCAGTTGTTCAAGACAGACCTACCTTGGGCCAGCCTGAGCTGCTTTACCGATCTCCCCCTCTGAAAACCACATGGCCTGGAGCTCGGAGGTATCTAGGGCCCAGAAGTCCCGCTGCTGCTGGGTCATAGTGCTCAACTCTTGATAAACAGGGCAAAGCTGTGATGCTGGGAGACAGGGGGACACCTGGGATGGTATGTGAGGACTGTCCAATTGGTGCTGCACTGGCTGATCATGCTGAGAAGAAATATCAGAGCTTTCTGACTCTGAGTCACTGTGAATCCTGAGTATCCTGAACGGGTCCTGCTTCTCTCCACTCATGTCCTGTGCAGTGAAGTGCTGAGCCACCTACTTCTAGGCCTTGAGAAACAGACTGGCCAAGCAGACTCTAGGTTCCCAGTGTGTCCCGATGCCCTGTAGCACGAAGGAGAAGACAGGCAGAAATGCAGGTGTGCCTCGTGGCATCTGTTTAGAAGGCTGTAAGAATACCTCCTTTGCTGTGAGGCCTAAAAGATTAGTGGCCAGCCGACTTTTAAAATGTCAGCAGCAGCCAGGCATGGTAGCGCACGCCTGTAATGCCAGCACCAGTGAGGCTGAGGCAGGAGGATAGCTGCAAGTTTGAGGCCAGCCCGGGCTACATAGTGAGTTCAAGGCCAGCCGGAACTACACAGCAAGACCTGTCTGAAACAAACAAGCAAGCAAACAAGGACTGGGGATATATCTCAGTGCAAAGGCCATATGTTTAATCCCCAGCACCACAAAAGAAAAATGTTGGCAGCAATAGAGTTAAAAGGATTCACACGGGCATCTTGAGACTGTGTACCAGGTATGTTTTCCTTTTGGACATGAATAGCATTTCTGGTCATACAAAATCAAACTTTCCCAGCTGGGGGTTTAGCTCAGCAGTACTGTGGCTGCCTCACAAGGGCAACGTCCTGAGCTCAATCCCTGGTGCCAAAACAAAACAAAATAAAACTTTCTCTTTAATCTGCACATACGTGTTTCAGTGAGAGCTCATCCAGATGTAACTAAAACCCAAGGCAACAGGAAACTCCAGGATACAGCCTTCGGACCTTACCCCCTAGAGGGACAGGGTGAAGAGCTCAGGGCTGTGCAAACAAGACTTTATTTGGTGGGACAAGGGTATACATACGGACGAGGAGGGTGGCTTGGGGGTAATTAATATTTCCTACCCTCTGGGAAAATTCTGAGAACTGAACAGAGTCACGTGTATAGAATACGCAGCCCTGGATGAGTCCAGTGGCAAAGAGTGTGCTTCTTCGTGGGCTTTCCAGGGACTCGGAGCTCTGAGAATGTAAGGCAGACCAAGTGCCTTCCCTTGGAAAGATTCCATCATGGTCTGCCCACTAGGTCGTCTGCGAGAGACTCTGGTGTCACCCAGAGTTCTACAGGCAGAGTATATGAGGCACCTCAGAGCACAGCAGGCAGGCATGGGGAGGGAGCAACTGCTTCTGGTTAGGAGCAACGGACTGATGGCCAGGCTCAGTCCTTGGCTCCCACCAAAGGCTCTAGGAGGCACCAGGGGAAGCCTGGGCTGCTTCCCCTTAGGGAGTTGTCTTGCTCTCCTTTTATTCTCATAACTGTGTGGGGTCACCTCTTCTTGGCTCTTTTTGTTTGTTTTGTGGTGCTGGAGATCAAACCCAGGGCCTTGGGCATGCCACGCAAGTGTTCTATCACTGAAACTGCACAGTATACCTTTGTGGGCCACATTTTATAGACCCTTAAAACTGGAGCTATAGGTAGGCACAGTGGGGCACTCCCACGATTCTGGGAGGCTGAGGCAGGAGGATTGCAAATTCAACCTAGCCTGGGCAACCTAGTGACTCAGCAAGACTCACTCTTGAAATAAAAGGGGAGGGGGGGGAGGTTTGCTCAGTGTGAAGGTCCTGGGTTCAACCCCAGAGCTAAACAAACAAACAAAGAAAAAAACAAAAAACCTTGAACTCAGAGCCGGTAAGTATCAAGTCCAGGATCAAACAACTAAAAGCACAGAGAAGCTGCTCAAACCCTGCCGTGTCTGGCTGTTGGCCTTCCTCCTCATTAGAAGAAGGAAACCACTATCCATCACAGTTACTAAGGCAGTGACCCTTTGATCTAGGATTTTTCACTTCAAGGAATCTACCCTAGAGGTTCAACTGGATATGTGCAAAATAACATACATACACACTAGAGCATCACAGCATCTACTACCACACAGAACCCAAACAAGCTGCAGTCGGGAACAGCGACGCGATATCCATAGAAGGAGCACTACACGGCTGTGGAAAGTACCAAAGACATGCACTGACACAGAAAATCCCAAGCTATATTGATAAAGTGGGGGGAAGCAAAGTTCATCCCAAAGGGCAAAATACACAAGAAACATGGAAATTAGAACTTATGTTCTTCTATGTTTGTAGACACAAAAGGAATTGGGAAGAGTAGTTGCTTTTGGAGGATTTAAACTGGCAAAGAGGAAAGAAAAACAGGAGGGAGATTAGTCACATTGATTTGGTAGCTTTTGCACATTTGTCGATGTTTCAACCTAAGTTAAAAATTGTTGACTCTGAAGCCTCTTTCTTGGCCATGTGAGCTTTCATTTTTCTCCAAATGACAACCTCCATGATTCTTAGTTGTTTAATGAACTGAACTTCCTCTTCCTAAGATGGACCAGGGAGGATGGAGGCATGGGTGCACCAGCACTCCCAACTTAGGGTGACGAGGACCCCAGACAAGGGATGGATCCACTGTTCGTGCTCCCTTTGAGAAGTTGGGCAAAGGGTAAAGGCCAGTGAGGAGCAAATTAACCACAACTTCTGACTTCATGTTAACCAGAATTTCACCCTCACAAGACAAGGTTTTCTAGAAAGAGTAGAATCAATATCACCAATCCCCTTTTCTCTTCCAAAGCTGAGAATTCAGACTCCTCCAGGCCATCTATCTCTCTATCGCCTGGCCAGGCAGATAAGCATCCACAGATCCCCATGGCAGGAAATGCACCTCTGAGGAGGAAGATCGCATCCTACAGACCGGAAGTCAGCAGAGTGAAGATGCAGCTGGGCCTAGGGACTCCTACCCCGGGCCCTCCCGCCTGCAGAGCTGCTGTTTATAAATGGCAGAACCTGGGTCAGGTGTCCGGGCCATGAATGACGGGTCAATCACCAGGGCGTGCTCATCACAACTATGCTCCGCTCCTACTGGACCAACATTTCCACCAACATTGAGTCTGTAGGTGGGGAACAAGTCAGGGACGAGTAAGTTCATGGCAGGGGGTAAGAACAAGCAAGAAACTGGGGAGAATGGGCTCCTGCTGCCCTAAGAAAGCCAGTGTTTGGGCAAAAATGAGCTCAGAGTCTCATCTCAGGTGAATCCCTTTTGCTCCTGAAGGTTGAATTTGGGCTGAAGCCAATAACGGGTGATGAAAGAGGAGGCCAGCGCTCTCCCTTTCCTCCCCTGCTCTAGCCTCAGCGTGCCTGGCTCTGTGCCTGTCATCTTCTACCAGGATCTTTGAAAGTGAGGACCAGGAGGCCTTGGAGTCCTGTGGCTGTATCATCCAGTGGTTCTTCAAATGAACACACATCCCAATCCCCTAGAGCACTTGTTCAAACTGAGGGCCGGGCCCACCGCCATAATCCTGGTTCAGGAAGTCTGCAATTGCCTCGATATGCTTTATTCTTAACCAATAAGTGAGAGAGGTGATGGCGGTGGTGCTGCTGCTGGCCTGAGGACCAGATTTGAGAAGCTCTGCACAAGCCTAGGCTGGAGGACTCTTTCCACAGGAGGGGAAGGTGGCGGTGGAGCTGGACGCCTCTGTTGCTCTGCCCCCTCCCATCAGCCTCTCTCCTCTGGTTTCCTCTCATTCACTGGCTTCCTTCTTTTGAAGCAGGAATCCTGAAATGGCTGTTACTGAGGCAGAAATCTTTCACCTTGCCTGAGCGTCAGTCTCCAGAGAGATAATCCCCAGACTCCTTGGCGTGGTATTTAAGATCCGTCCCATCCCCTCCTCCCCGGCTTGTTCCTTGTTTCTGCACACCTAGCCCACCATGTCTTTAACTGAGCATTCCCCACCCCCAGGCTCTGCTCATGCTACTCCTGCATCCAGAAATGCTGGTCCCTGTCGCCCTCGCTTGTCAAACAGATGCACTGTAAGCCAGACCTGTCCGAGGATCCAGGGACTAGAAACCAGGGGAAGGCCAGGCCCAAGTCCTGAAGCATCTCCCACCTGAGAGGAGCTCCAGGCCCAAAGTCCGGGGAGCAGACCCTGACGTAAACATGCATTCTCATCCTGATATGCGATTCATTCTTGGTAAGGATTATTTCGTTTCCTTTTGCTTTTTGTTTATTCTCACAGGAAACACAACATTGAGTCATACAGAGCTCGGACTTTATTCCCAACTTGGGAGTATGAGCGGTAATGGCGGGGAGTCAGAACTTCATGGGTTCTTATCTAAGAAGTTACTAGTGGCCAGAAGAGCTAGAATATAAATCCAAGCCTGTATGACTTTTTTTTGGGGGGGTACCAGGGATCGAACTTGGGACCTTGTGCTTATGAGGCAGGTGCAGTGCCACTGAGCTACATCCCCGGCCCTGTATGACTTTTTGAAATGTGTTTGAGAGAGGTTGATGGAATCAAAGGGGGTCTTTATATTCAAATGGGAAGGGGAACAAGGAGAGGAAGGGAGGAAAGGGAAAAAAAGAATAGAAGGAAGAAATGGAAAGAAAGCTTTCGTAAATAAGAAGGAGAAAAAGGGTTGAAGGAGGGGGTATGGGAAAAAAAGGAGAATAAATATATGTCATGTACAGGGCCAGGGACTTAGCTCAGTGGTGCCACCGCCTGCCTCACAAGCCCAAGGTCCTGAGTTCGATCCCTGGTACCAAAAAATAAAAAGATACATCATGTACTGGTACAAATCCCCTATGATGAATGTGATCATGATGCATATCAAAAGCGTACCAATAAAAGTAATTTTTTAAAAAGATCTAGGACCTTGGCAACATCTAGAAGGGATTGTGGAGGGCGGGGGGCAGATCAGAAGCCCGGGCCTGCCTCAGAAGGCAGGATGTATGGCGGTGAGGAGCCCGGGCTTTCTACTTCCAAGCAGCATGCGCTTTGACAGGGTGCCAGCCTGTGCCTCAGTTTCCTCATCTGTAAATGAAGCCGACATGTTACACCCTCCTTAAAGCTGCAGTCAGAGCCAGAGTTACATAAGGGCTTTGATGATGCCAGATTTCAAGCAAAAGCTCACTAAAGGTCAGCCGTTCGTAGGGGCCTCGGGAGAGAAAAGGAGCAGGAAGAGAGGCTGGGAGAGGATCCTGCCCCAGGGACAGGATTTCCAGAAGGGGGTGAGAGTCTCCCTGTACTGTGCTGCTCCATCTGAACTAACACAGCTGCTCTCGCTGTCGTAGC